ATCCGAGAAAGCTGCCGAACGGTGCAAGAGTAACACCGACGGGGATGGAGACCTGTAGATATTCGATGGCAAGTTTGGTAACATCTCCTTCCCAAATTAAACGATAATAGGCTCCGACCACAGAGTTCAAGCCTCAAAATTGGATGCATATAGGTGCAAGATTGTTTGGTACGCACATACCCATCAAGACAACGGTTGTCGGGGTGGCGCTCTTCTCAGTCACTCTAAAGAGTAAGGTGATTATGGAAAAGATACAGATGTCCACACCAGACCCAGCAAAAGCAGTGAAGATTCCTTAACGTATAAAAATTAGAGGAACGCAACTTGTATCTGTTTATTCAGTTTCACGATTTGATGCACTTTTCTCCTTGTTACTGCTTGGGCGCACAGAAATGCATCGCTAAACGGTTGTTTTTTCTCACATTTTTTTGGGTAAAATGCAGCACAGCACAGACTTTCTAGATCGCAAATATTCTTCTAAGAATAAGGCCCAAATTTCAATCATTTGTTGAGATATATAAACGCGATCTACTTTATGACAACGGGTTATTATGAAATGAAGAGAGTAAAAAGTAAGGTGTATTGAAAGCAACATTTTGATTTTATGATCATTTTCACGCACTACAATCAGGCTAGTTGAGTCTGGAAGGCAGAAAATTTTAAAAAATTCACTTTACCTCCTACAAATCCTGTAGCAACCAGCACTGCCGCCTTCCAAGGCTTAAACTCTGGTATTTTTGGATAAGTTTTCCTCTTCTTATGCGAATTCAAGATAAATAAAGCTATTGCAAAGGATGCCCATATTGAGACGAATAGCATCTTCTTTTGACTGGCATCAAGAAGTGGATCGAACTAAAAACACTATAAAGAAGTTGGATTTCTTTATCTGTTCATGCGTCCAGTCATGCTACTAAAAATATATTACTCATTTATGTTAAAACAAAGACTCACGAATTTGAAGCCAAAAATGAGGCCTGGTATAGAACCGAGCGTTCCGAAAAGGACAGCTCTTTGCTCGATTTGCACTCGCATGATCAAAACAACGGTGAGCGCACACATCATACCTTCAAAAATTGTGTTAATCTGTTTCTTATTGCATATCATTTGGAGAAGACTCTAAACTTGGCATTGTTCTCAAAGCAACTAAAACACTAAAATGGTCAAAATGTCGACGAGGTAATAACACTAACAAAGCAAGCAAGCAAACAAACAAGCAAGCGTAAGCATAAACTCAGTGGTTGATGTTTTCGCCTCGAAGTTCATAAACTTCCAAGTATCATTCTAAAGAGCTGCCTCCAGTTTAGATTCTCGTAATAAAACAAGTCATAAATTGATATTGCTACTGTAAGGTTACGGTAAGAGCTTGTGCGGTTTTTACGCTAACAGGAGCGTTATCCTTTGAATCTTAGAAAACTGAAAATTGCTATCAGTGACTTTTTACACTCAACATATCGGAGAATTTCAACTTAGATTTACAGTACATAGTAGATAAAACAACGAGTGCGCTTTCTTGATGTGGGATCACGCTAGGAACTTTCAGGATGACTTATGTGCAGATGACTAGCAGTT